CGGCCCCGTCGCACCAGCCCGGTCCCGTAGCGCCCGCCCGGCCCCTTCGCACCCGCCCGGCCCAGTCGCCCCCCTGCCCGGCCCCGTCGCAGCCGCCCGGCCCCGTCGCACCCGTCCGGCCCCGTCGCGCCCGCCCAGCACCGTTGCGCCCCCCCCCCCCCCCCCCCCCCTCCTTGGCCCCGTCGTGCCCCTCCTGGGCCACCGTCCTGCTCGCCCGGCCCCGTCGCACCGGACCGGCCCCGTCGCACCGCCCGGCCCTGTCGCACCGGCCCAGCCCCGACGCACCCGCCCGGCCCCGTCGCACCAGCCCGGCCCCGTCGCGCCCGCCCGGCCCCGTCGCACCCGCCCGGTCCCTGCGCTCGTCCCTGCCCCGGCCCCGGTCCTCCTCACTGGTACAGTCCCCCCCCCCCCCCCCCCCCCCCTGCACTGACCTGCACTGTACTGCCCCGCACTGCACTGCCCCGCATCACCCTGCGCTCCCGCGTCTGCGTCACATGTCCCAGCACGGTCTTGTCCTTGCTCTCCCAGGTTCTCTCCCCGCGTTTCCCTCCTCCCCCGCCCCCCCTTGCACGCCTTGTGTCGAGGGTCGGCTTCGCCGTGCCCCTCACTCCTCCTCGTTTCCCCCTACCGCCGCGCCACTGCAGACCCTGCACCTCGACGTCTGGGGCCCCGCCCCCGTCCCTGGGCCGCGTCGAGAGCGCTACTTCCTTGTGCTTGTCGACGACTTCACTCGTTACACGACAGTCTTTCCCCTGGAGCGCAAGGCCGACGTGCCTGGCGCTCTCATCCCCTGGCTTGTCTCTGCGCGTGTCCACCGCGGTCTCCCTGTCTTGCGTCTTCACTCCGACCGTGGTGGCGAGTTTGCCTCAGGTGTCCTTGGTCGCTTTTGTCGTGCAGAGGGCATCACCCAAACGTTCACCCTACCGGACTCCCCACAGCAGAATGGGGTCGCTGAGCGACGCATCGGTTTGGTCATGGAGGTGGCTCGCACCTCCATGATCCATGCCGGTGCACCCCATTTTCTGTGGCCGTTCGCTGTGCGCTACGCTTCTCACCAGCTTAACTTGTGGCCGCACCCTCAGCAGCCGCAGGTTTCGCCGACCCGTCTTTGGACTGGGTCTCCTGGTGACGCATCTGCGTTCCACGTCTGGGGCTGCCTTGCTCACGTTCGTGCCTCCGGCACGGACAAGCTCACTGCCCGCACCCTTCCCTGCGTCTTCCTCGGTTTTCCCCTTGACGCGTCCGACTGGCACTTTTACCACCCGCCGTCTCACCGCTTCTTTCACTCTCGCGACGTCACCTTTGACGAGTCCGTTTCCTACTACCGTCGCTTCCCCCACCGTGGTCCCCCGGTTACCCCCCCCCTGTTCCTGGTCACTCCTTCCCCGGTAGTCCCTGCCCCTCCTCCTCCTCCTCCCCGTCCCGCCCCCTCTGGTGTGTCCCACGTAACCCCTCTTCCGTCGGCGGACCCGGTTGAGGAGTCCTCAGACTCTGGTGGCCCTCCTGTGCAGTCCTCGCCGGCCGCCCCTCGCCCGGCGTCCCCTCCCCAGTCCCCTCCTCCACCGCCTCTGTCGCCGCTGCAGCCGTCGTTGTCGCTGCCGCCGCCGCCGCCGTCGCAGCCCCCGTTCGCTGACTCTGGGGGTGCTCGTCCCGGTCGCCCTGGGGGTGGCCCCTCTGGGGGTGCTGGTGTGGAGAGTGCCGGTGGTAGCCGAGGAGCAGCTTGCGGTCCAGGTGTCGCCGTTGTGCCGCCGCAGCAGCAGTCCCCGCCGGTGTCAGCCCTTCGCCTGCTCGGCCTTCCGTCCCCCGACCCTGCGTCTGTTCCTCCCCGACCCTCTCCTTCTCTTCCTGTCTACGGCCCTGTTTTCCCTCTGCCGGACTCGTCCCCGGCCTGTCTTCCCCCTCGTTCCCCTCCTGTGTCCCCTCCTCTGTCTCCTGACCCCACTCCTCCGTCGCACGTCTGGTCTCACCGTCCCTCCCGTGCTCGTCCTGCCTCGCCTGTCTTGCGCTCCCACCCTATGTTGCTTCGTTCCCACGCGTCTCGTCCTCCCCTTCTGCCGTCGCCTCCTCCGTCCTCTCTTGTTGTTGCACCCCCCCCCGTTGTCTGACTACCTTTGTGCCACTCGTCCCCTTGTTCCTCGGGTCCTTGCCTCTCTCGTTACCAACCCGTCTGTTCCGGTCTCGTGCCTTAACGCTCTTGTCGCTGCTGTCGCTGACTTCGCCTCTACCCGCCGCCTTGACTACGCCACAGCTCTGGTCTCTGACCCTGCCTGTCCTCCGTCTGTCGGGGGTGCTCCTGCCCTTGGCAGTGACGTCCTGGAGGACCGCCAGTTCGAGCTTGCTTTCCTCTCCGAGGCTGCTCCCCATCTCTGTTCCATGCTGCTAGTCCCTGAGGGTGACCCAGACGCTTTTGACATCCCGACCCCTCGCACTTACGCTGAGGCCACTTCGGGACCCTGGGCCTCACAGTGGATAGCTGCCATGGAGCAGGAGATGGCATCTTGGAGATCCACCGGCACCTTTGTCGACGCAGTTCCCCCACCTGGGGTGAACGTAGTCGATGGCCGCTGGCTCTTCAAGGTGAAGCGCCCTCCTGGAGAGCCGCCTGTGTTCAAGGCGCGCTATGTGGCTAGAGGCTTCAGTCAGCGCGAGGGGGTGGACTTCTTCCAGACCTTCGCTCCGACCCCGAAGATGACTACTCTTCGGGTTCTGTTACACCTAGCCGCTCAGCGTGACTACGAGCTTCACTCCCTCGACTTCTCCACTGCCTTCCTTCAAGGCAGCCTACACGAGCAGGTCTACTTGCGTCGCCCTCAGGGCTTTACTGGCACCTTCCCTCCTGGGACCCAGTGGCTCCTGCAGCGCCCCGTCTACGGCCTGCGCCAGGCTAGTACATCGGGCATGGGGTTAGTGCTAGGAGGACGCAGGCCAGTGGTCCTTACTGGACACACAGACGCTTCGTGGGCAGACGACGCCGAGACACTCCGGTCTACCCAGGGCTACTGCTTCAGCCTTGGCTCAGGTGCCGTCTCGTGGAGAGCTACCCACTCCTCGTCTGTTGCGCAGTCCAGCTGTGAGGCTGAGATCTACGCTGGTGCCATGGCGGCACAGGAGCTCCGCTGGCTGACCTTCTTGCTCACTGACTTAGGTGAGCGGCCTAGCTCTGCCCCGGTCCTGTTCGCTGACAACAGGGCCATGATCCTCCTGTGTCAGGAGCCTCGACTCGAGGGCAGAGCGAAGCATATTCAGCTGCGGTACTTCCTCCTGCACGAGCTGCAGCAGCGACGTCAGGCTCGCGTAGTACACTTGGCCTCAGGTGCCAACACGGCTGATATCTTTACGAAGGCGCTTGCGCCTAAAGATCATCAGCGGCACTGTGTACAGCTTGGTCTAGTTCCTGTAGCCTCTCACTTGCTAGGACCTTGACTTTGTACTGTCCTTTATATGTATACTCAGACTGGACTTGTGTCCTCTCCCAGTGGCTGGACTAGTAGTGCCGCCCCGCTCTTGTTCTTGCCTTGTCTGTACTCCTTCTGACTGGTCTCTCAGACCCTTGTCTCAGAGGTTGGACTAGTAGTGCCGCCCTGAGCTACTTGTTTAGGACATTCCCCTATGCAGTCTAGGGGGTGTGTCAAACATGTGTATTTGTCATGTTTGTATAGACTGTATAGGGTAGCCTCTTAGAGGGTACAACACTTAGGTATATCTGTGTGTACTCTCACTCTATTTATCATTCACTTCTCTAATTCTGATAGATGGGATGGGCGAATTCTTGGATGTGTGCGTATGGACTGATGAGCGTTGAGTGGAGTCGGGCGAGGGTCGTCGAATGCAGAGAGGAACGAGGCGGTGGTTTGGCGTGCGGAGCAGAGTCGCGGCGAACCGTGAGAATCGTTCGGAGGACGCGGTTGTGCAGTTGAACCGGTTCTATGGCGGCCTAAACCTAGCCCGCTTGAAACCGATGTTTCAGATCGCTTCAAGCCAATGCAGTGGCTGTGGTTGCAGTGGCTGAGGTTGCAGTGGCTGAGGTTGCAGTGGCTGAGCTCACGAGAATAGAACTCAAGGGTTGCTCTCTCTCGGCAAGAGCTCAAGTCCGTGAAACTTGTGAACAAACGCAAGGTGTTGATTGTGAAATGGAGTAACAAGGTCCCTCGCCGTTCGCAAATTTCGCCAAACCACGTAGCGTGTGGATACCCCCGCTTTTACCCGATGGTCGCGCGACGACGAAAGTGTGTGCGGCACGAAAGAATCTCTGACAAATGCGTCCGCGTCATGTAGCGCGCCTCGACAAACCATCCAATAAAACCGTTGCCATCGAATTGACAAGCCCAACCGCAAAAAAAAAAACGGACTACCATGTAACGCTTTACAAACATGTAGTAAACCATAAGGGTATGGGCCTAAACAAACACAAGAGAGACAATCATTTATGGTAAGAAGCAAAATGAAAACACAATTTCATATAGATAACAATAACCATAACATGGGAAAATAGTGTAAAGTTTCATAATGTACTAATCGCAACGCAATCATAGTCGCCTCGACATGGCCGCATTTCGCAACAGTAGGTGTACACAGAGGTTATACAACAACGAGGCCAGACAGCCACACAATGCAATAGAAACAAAGGGGAAACACTGCTGCACGGTTTGCGTGGGCAGAGGTGCAATATCCAGTGCGAACAAGCCCCCTCGACAATCACCCCGAACCATGTTGAAACAGCCAAGCCTGGGACTCGGTCGAGCACGGAGAATTTGCCACGCACGCTGCCACACCTACCCAGAATCAACAGCACAGACCCTTCCAGGCCAAACCCAACTGTCAAGACTCACGCAAACCTCTACCTCCTGTCCAAGGCAAACGCCCCGGGCTGTACCTGCCCGATTCGGGATTTTTCCGACGCTGGCTCCCTTCCTCCCCCCCCCCGCACCCCACCCCGCCCATCTCCACTCCGTTCTCCAAGCAGTAGTACTACTAGTAAGGCCATAACGTAGCTATTGGATAGAGCAGCACATTGCGGCGCCGCACGCATGCCGCGTCAGCCGGGATGGTTCCACTAACCCGTCTCCGCCTGCTCTCCGCGGTCGTCGCCGCGCTGGCTGTGCTATCTGCGTGTTTCCCCTCCCCACCGCTAGCGCGCGCGCAACTGTGGGCGAAGTCGCAGCGTGAGTGCGAGTTACTGCTATAATTTCGTACTAGTATCAAGAGAAGCCTCCCCCCTTTTTACATTCCAAAGTCGTCGTCAAATGCGGCAATTTGGTTGCTTCCCCATTTGGGGAAGCTCTTGACTCGAGTCAAAAGCAGTTCTTCGATCGCCTCCCTCGGGGAAAGCACCAAGTAAGTAGGAGGAGCATGCGGCGACGAGTGTAGATGAGGAGGGTCCATGCCATGGCAGTCGTGTGGCTCGGAAAATTCATTCCGAAGCTCTAACCCCAACCAACCTCCCTGCCCCCCCCTCCCCCCTCCCCCCTCCCCCCTCCCCCCTCCACCCTTCGCCCTCCCCCCCGGGCAGTTCCGTTTCTGTCGGAGTGCCAGGCGGCGTGGAAGCGCAACTTGAGCGGATGGGGCGCGCGGTCCAACTGCAGCAAAGCGGTTTTCGTGACATGCGACAAGGACGGCATGCTCACCAGCATGTGAGCGCATGGCATGGCATGACATGGCATGGCATGACATGGCACGGCTTGCTGAAGAGTATCATGTGTGACTCTCGGAGCCCATGGCACGGTACCCAACTGGTCGAACTCCTTCCCTCTCGCAACTGCCAGTGTCTGTCATTCTTTTTGTTGCATGTAACCTTGCGTCCATCTATGATTATCCCTCGTCCTCCCTCACGCTCCCTTTCTTTCTCTCTCCAATTCTCTCCCCTTCTCACCTTCACACTCTCTTCCTCTCCTCTCCTCCCCTCCCCCCCCCCTTCGTCCGTGCGCTGCCAGGGCCCTCTTGTCCCAGTCACTCACAGGCTTCATCCCGGCGTCAATAGGCGCTGCCACGCGCCTCTCGCACCTGTGAGTGCGCATGGCTCTGCTGTGAGTGCGCATGGCTCTGCTGTGAGTGCGCATGGCTCTGCTGTGAGTGCGCATGGCCCTCCATACCACACGTGGGTGCTGCCATGGTCGCTGGATGGATGCGTGCGTTGCATTCCACACATTGCGTTGTCATGCAACAGCTGGTTCCAAATGATCTGTGGTACTACCACATAGCTGTGCACGTGTGTGCATGCCAGCATTCTTGTGCATGTCTGTCACGCGCACGGCGTATCCTTGTTGGGACAATGGGCCAGAGAATTGTGTGTGCTCCGTGCACGTGCGGGCACGCGCGCATGTGTATCTGTGTCTGTGCGTGGTTGTGGGTGTGTGTGTGTGCGTGTGTGTGTGTGTGTGTGTGTGCGTGCGAGCATGCGTGCGCGCGTGCACTTGTGTGTGTGTGTGTGTTGGGACCTGCAGGGAGCTGTACAACAACATGCTGAATGGTTCCATTCCGGATACCATAGGCAACCTCCTCTCACTGCAATACCTGTGAGCCACATCTTCATGTAGATGTACCTGTCATGGTCACCACACCTGGGTGGGGCCTACGTTCCACATAACCAGTGCGCTGATTGCCAACGTGTTGGTCTATTGAGCAGATAGCCATAGAATCACGCATCTCAGCCCGCTCGGGTCTTCATCCTGGCTTTCGTCCCTCGTAACCTCATTCCCGTCTCGCTGCCTGCCGCTCTCCTGAATCTCCACCACTCTCCCCTTATCATGCTTCCTCTTTCAATCATTCTTAGGTATGCAGCAGGCCTCTTCCTTGCTGTCTCATTGCCAACATCCGAGCTCTGGTCCCTTGGTGCCTCCCTCCCACTTTCCTCCTCACGCCCTTGGCAGTGATCTCTCGGCCAACAACCTGAAAGGGAGCTTACCTTCCTCCATCGGAAAGCTTTCCTCCCTCACTTCCTTGTGCGGCCATGCTTCACCATGCCTCATCATGCTTCACCATGCCTCATCATGCTTCGCCATGCCTCATCATGCTTCACCATGCTATATCATGCTTCAGCATGCTGCCAATGCCAAGTGAGCCCATATCGTGCACATGTGCTTTTACCCTCTCCACTCGTCGTACCCCCGTGTTCTTTATCCCAACATTCTCAACCTTCGTGTGAACTTTATCCTCCCCACCCCACCTCCCCGCCTTTACCCCTGCCCACGCCCCTCAGCTCGGTGTCTCAGAACTGGCTGGATGGCAATGTGCCCAGCACCATCTCCCGCCTCACCAAGCTGCAGCAGCTGTGAGTCGCATGGATGGATGCATCCGCCAGCACATAGTGAAGGGTACCTTACCTTCCCCAGGCTCTGTTCCCGTTTTCCCGTCCTGCTCCTGCCCTTCTCCCTGCCTCCCTGTCGTTATCCTTCCATTCTTTCTTTCCTGCTCTCTTTCCCTATCTCGTTCTGCCTTCCTCTCTGTACTCCCCCTCCTGCTTGCTTGCACTTCCTCGCTGCATCTCCCTCCTCCTTCTCCCTGTGTATCTGTAACCCCTCGGCAGGAGTGTGTACAACAACTCGTTCTCGGGTGTCATTCCCCCGGCCATCTATGCACTCACCAGCCTCACAGTGCTGTACGCTCTGCAGCCATGCACCCATGCACTCGTGCATCTGTGCATGCATGTATCACCACGAGTCCATGAGCCTACGCCTTGTTTGAGCCGCATTTGTGCGTGCCGCGTGGGTGTGCTGTGTTTGTGCTGTGTGCTGTGTGCTTTGTGGTTTCTACCCCCTGCGCATCCCTTCCAGTCAGCACAAGTCCTGCCAATTAGAATCCATGCATCCCCACCCCCTCTCCCCTGTGTGGCAGCGAGGTGGGCCGCAACTACTTCACAGGCTCCTTCCCTTCACAGTTCTCTCGTCTCGTCAATCTCGTGTACCTGTGCGCCTGCTGCATGCATGCATGCACCACCCGCATGTGCCATATGCCATGTGCCATGTGCCCGTGTGCATGTGACGTGCGCCATGTCACATATGCCGTGCTCCTGTGGGATATGTGACATCTGTCACTGTCACCGATCCGCCTTAGCAAGAGATGGGCAGTCAGTCAGGTTTCTGTTGTTTCTTACGGATGCATACCTTACTCTCAACTGAAGCTTAATACATCGTACTACATTCGATCTGGCATGTAATATGTGGCATCTGGCATCTGGTATGCGGCATGTGATATGTGGCCTGTGGCCTGTGGCCTGTGGTCTGTGGCATCTGGCATCTGGCATCTGGTATGTGACATGCGGTATGTGGCATGTGGCATGTCGCATGCGGCATGTGGCATGTGGCATGCAGCATGTGGCATGTGGCATGTGGCATGTGGCATCTGGTATGTGGCATGCGGCATGTGGCATGTGGCATGTGGCATGTGGCATGCGGCATGTGGCATATCGCATGCGGCATATGGCATGTGGCATGTGACATGTCACATGTGGCATGCGGCATGTGGCATGTGGTGCGGCATGACAGGGAGGCAGGCAACTTGGGTCTGATAGGCGAGCTGCACTCAACCCTAGGGAGCCTAAAGAACCTGCAGGCGCTGTGAGTGAGGCACTGCACGCGTTGTGAGTCAGTCTCTGCAGCACGCAGCAAAAAAACGTTACTTCCCTTCCCCATCTCACATCCACGAGGTCGATCCCACATCTCAAACCTCACATGCAACTCAAACACTGAACTGCGATACCCAACACATAACGCACAACACTCGACTCCCACAATCATTGCGCACTCTCCCCCCACTCCCCTCCGCCCTTAAACCATATCAGCTATGCGCGTGAGAACGTTCTGGTAGGCAGCATCCCTGCGAGCCTGGGCCGCCTCAAGGCCCTCACCATCCTGTAACTACTAATCACCAACCCCATGCCTGTACTACCCATGCTTTTTCTTCCCATGCCTACTCATCCCATGCCTACTCATCCCATGCCTACTCATCCCATGCCTACTCATCCCATGCCTACTCATCCCATGCCTACTCATCCCATGCCTACTCATCCCATGCCTACTCATTCCATGGCTACTCATCCCATGCCTACTCATCCCATGCCTACTCATCCCATGCCTACTCATCCGATATTTTTTTCCCTCACTCCTCACCTTCGCCCTCAGGTCTTCTCTCCATTTCCGCATCTCTCCTCTCACCAAATCGTCCTCCGTTCCACGCCATCTCCTGCCTGTTTTTCTCAATTCCTTGTTACTCTTGCATCAGCCTGTTTCCGCATGACTCCACTTCCGTGCTCCTCTTAAAGTCCCGTCCTCTCCTCCTCCCGTCCTCTCCTTCTCCCCTCCCCTGCGACCCAACCCCCCCCTCTCCCTCTCTTTATCGCCCCCATCACTCTCTCTCTCTCTCTCTCTCTCTGCGCTGCGCCGACTCTCTGCATGGCAGTCAGCTGGGCGGCAATCAGCTCACGGGGTCCATCCCTGCCTCCTTCTCCAACCTCGTCAACCTGCAGGGCCTGTGTGTCTGTCCCTCCCCTCTTCTCCTTCATCTACTCCTCCCCTTTGCCCCTCCCCTCTCCTCCGTCTCCTTTTCCTCCTGTTTCCTTGTACCTTCTCTCGCCCTGTCCTTTACTCCTTGCCAAACAACAGGATTCTAGAACGCTTTGCACCGGTGTTGTTTACTCCTCTTCACCTATCCCCGCTCTCTCTCTTATTCCTCTCCTCATAGCCATCCCCCAACCTCGTCCTCTGGCCCTTCTGTCTGTCCACTCACTCACTCTCCCCTAATTAGCTACCTGTGGACGAATCAGCTGAGTGGCTCTTTGGATGTCATCACCAAGTGCACTGCCCTGCAGCAGCTGTGAGCCGTGCTGCCATGCTGTACCCCATGCTGTGCCCCATGCTGTGCCCCATGCTGTGCCCCATGCTGTACCCCATGCTGTGCCCCATGCTGTGCCCCATGCTGTGCCCCATGCTGTGCCCCATGCTGTACCCCATGCCGCCATGCTGCTAGTTGGCAAATGCTGTGCCATGCAGTGTCTAGCAGTCTGCCTGCCGACAACTAGGCAGAAGTGCGAGGAGCAACTTATGTCTCCCTTTCCTTCTCTCCATAACCGCACCCCCCTTTTCCTCAGGGCGGTTCAGTACAATGGGTTCACAGGATCCATTCCCAGAGCCATTGGCCAGCTCACAGGCCTCGACCACCTGTCAGTCATGCCGTGCACGTGCACATGCACATGCATATTCACATGCATATTCACATGCATATTCACATGCACACGCACATACACATCCACATGACATGCACAATCACATGCACATCCACATGCGCATTCATATTCACAAGCATACGGTCTCGAGCTGTTTCTCTTCTCTCTCACCTTCTCTGGCCAGCCCTACACTCGTCGTCTCTCTCCCTCGCATGCGTGTTTGCTGTGCGCGCCTGCCATACTGGCACGGGGCATGGAGTGTGGGGCCTGGGGCATGGTCCATGGGACATGGGACATGGGACATGGGACATGGGACATGGGACATGGGGCATGGGGCATGGGTGTATCGGGCGCATGGGGCAATGGCAGTGGACTGGCAAGCAACAAGCTCTCAGGCCCCATTCCAACGACTATCGGCAATCTCCTCAACCTCACCACCTTGTCAGTACCAGGCTGCCAACTCTTCTCACTGCGCTTCAGTCCACTGTTCCGGCTTTCTCCCGTTGCTTGCGTGCTACCTGATGCGATCAAATGTATTACTTTGTCACTATGCCATTCGTGGTTTCGTTTTGCATCCACTCCTCCTGTCAATGCGCCTCTCAGTCTAACATCTTCTGCCTCCATACTCCTTACACATGTTCTCCCCTTTTTCCTCCCTGCCAGCCTGCATGCCTGACTGCCGCCTGTCTGCTTGCCTTTCACCCGCTCTTCATTTATGTTCTTTCTCATCTTATATCCCCAATGTCATCCCTCTCTTCCCCCGTCCTTTCACGGTGCCGCTCCCTGACCGTCCACCCCATGTCTGCAGCAACGTGTCGCACAACACCCTCACCGGCTACCTGCCTGCCTCCATGGCCGCCCTCACCAACCTCGTATTCATGTACGCCCCTTCCCTCCCCCCTTAGAGTCAACCCCCCCAACCCCTGCACCGCCCACCCAACCACCCCCCCCCTTTCACGCCCTTCCCAAACCCCTTCCCCTTTTAGGTTGCCGAATCGTCCCAGTGGGCCGGGTTTTTTTTTCCTGTACGCAAGTCTGCCTGACACCCCCCCCTCCCCACTTCCCCCTCCCCCTTTCATTCCTTCCTCCTTGCCCCCCTCCTCCGCCCACCCTCTCCTTCCCTCCCTCTATTCCCCTCCCGCGTCCAGTGAGTTAGTGCAAGAGCCCCCGGGGTCGGTGGTGTGTCCGCCGAGGGTGAAGTGGCAGTGCGGACCCCTGAACGTGTCAGGGGCCAGCATCCTCACGCCGTACTGCGTCACGTGCCCTGACTTCTGCGTCTTCTGCTTCGTGCAGCAGAGTGAGTCAGCAGTGACGACTCTCGCACTACAGAGCTGAGGGAACCAGAGAGCGTGAGAGTTGAGAGCTGATGGAACCAGAGAACAGCGCACGTTCATGTGCGTTGTTTTCTAAAGGCCGCCCTTCGGTGACACCGCGGCTCAAAATCGAGCCACTCGTTTACAGCCAAGCAGGTATTGGTACATACACAGGAACTGGGACTGCATACTTGGGGGCATCAGGCATCGCATGCGCCCACGTCTCTCCCACCTTCTATCTCGTTGCTGTCGTATTCATCTTCCCTTTCCCTATCAGCATGCCCTTGTCGCCTACCCTGATCCTCCTTCTCGAGTACCTATTGCTCCCATTTCAAACCCCTAACCCCACCCCCCCTCCGCCCTCCCCTTCCCCTCCGTTGGCTCCGTTGCAGCTTTACCACCTCTCTCACGGCCATCGCCACCAGTCGGCTCCTTTCCAGCACGCCCACCATCGGCACCTACGCCACCATCCAACTCAACCACATCACCTGCTCCTCTCCTCTCACCTCCCCCCAACCCACCCCGCACACCTTCCCCCCCTGTTCCCCTTCCCTCCGCACCACCCACTTTCCCGCCCCCCCCGGCGCCGGTGAAATGTCCGCCTAACGATACGAGGCAGTGCAAGCTGGCAGTCGAAGGCAACACCCTCGAGGCCGTTTGCAACAAGTGCCCTGGCTTCTGCATCTTCTGCTTCCTGCATAGTGGTGAGCTATGCTTCCTGCATAGTGGTGAGCTATGCTTCCTGCATATTGGTGAGCTATGCTTCCTGCATAGTGGTGAGCTATGCTTCCTGCATATTGGTGAGCTATGCTTCCTGCATATTGGTGAGCTATGCTTCCTGCATAGTGGTGAGCTATGCTTCCTGCATATTGGTGAGCTATGCTTCCTGCATAGTGGTGAGCTATGCTTCCTGCATAGTGGTGAGCTATGCTTCCTGCATAGTGGTGAGCTATGCTTCCTGCATATTGGTGAGCTATGCTCCCTGCATATTGGTGAGCTATGCTTCCTGCATAGTGGTGAGCTATGCTTCCTGCATAGTGGTGAGCTATGCTTCCTGCAGAGTGGTGACTATGCTTCCTGCATAGTGGTGAGCTATGCTTCCTGCATATTGGTGAGCTATGCTTCCTGCATAGTGGTGAGCTATGCTTCCTGCATAGTGGTGAGCTATGCTTCCTGCATAGTGGTGAGCTATGCTTCCTGCATATTGGTGAGCTATGCTTCCTGCATATTGGTGAGCTATGCTTCCTGCATAGTGGTGAGCTATGCTTCCTGCATAGTGGTGAGCTATGCTTCCTGCATATTGGTGAGCTATGCTTCCTGCATATTGGTGAGCTATGCTTCCTGCATAGTGGTGAGCTATGCTTCCTGCATATTGGTGAGCTATGCTTCCTGCATAGTGGTGAGCTATGCTTCCTGCATATTGGTGAGCTATGCTTCCTGCATAGTGGTGAGCTATGCTTCCTGCATAGTGGTGAGCTATGCTTCCTGCATAGTGGTGAGCTATGCTTCCTGCATATTGGTGAGCTATGCTCCCTGCATATTGGTGAGCTATGCTTCCTGCATAGTGGTGAGCTATGCTTCCTGCATAGTGGTGAGCTATGCTTCCTGCATAGTGGTGAGCTATGCTTCCTGCATATTGGTGAGCTATGCTTCCTGCATATTGGTGAGCTATGCTTCCTGCATAGTGGTGAGCTATGCTTCCTGCATAGTGATGAGCTATGTTTCCTGCACATTGGTGAGCTATGCTTCCTGCATAGTGGTGAGCTATGCTTCCTGCATAGTGGTGAGCTATGCTTCCTGCATAGTGGTGAGCTATGCTTCCTGCATATTGGTGAGCTATGCTTCCTGCATATTGGTGAGCTATGCTTCCTGCATAGTGGTGTGAGCTATGCTTCCTGCACAGTGGTGAGCTATGCTTCCTGCACAGTGGTGAGCTATGCTTCCTGCATAGTGGTGAGCAATGCTTCATGTGTAGAGGTCAGTTATGGTTCGTGCATGGTGAGCCAGCCTTGTTGATTTGCACTGTTCTTCGACGGGCACCATTCATCCACACTGCGATCTGGAATCGAGCCATCTTTCTAAAACGCTTTGCTATTGGCATTGCATGCTTTGGGCCTCAAGCATCGCATGTGCACACAAAATTTTCCACCTTCCCTTTTGCCATATTCATCTTTCCGTCCCCTAAAATCTAACCCTCATTCACCTCCCTTTTTCTCCCTTCTAAACCAAGATCCCGCCCACCACCACCTCTCGCCCTGCCCCAACGCAGGTGATCCACAACCCCCCCTTCTCCACGCACCACCCTTCCCTCCACCATCCCATCCCGCCCCTCCTCCCCCTCCGCCCCCTCCACCCCTTGCGCCTCCTCCGACCCCTCCGCCGCCTCCGCCCCCACCGCCTCCTCCGCCCCCTCCCCCCCCACCTCCCCCTCCGCCCTCCTCGTCGGGGCTGTCAGCGGGGGCCATTGCTGGCATCGCAGTGGCTGGCGTCTCGCTGCTTGTGCTCCTGCTGCTGCTTCCGCTGCTGCTCTTCTGCAGGGCGAGAGGAAGGCCACCTTCCGATGCTGCCGCCGCTGCTGCTGCGGCGGCGGCTGCTGGTGGTGCCTCAGGTACAGGAACGTGTCAAGTGAGTGAATGCGCTCCTTTGATTAGAGAATTAAGGAGCAGCACCAGTTTCAGATGTGGATGCCAGTTTCAGGAGCGCATGGGTGAGTGTATTTTGGTGCACTTCCTCCTCCAGGTGAGACACCTCTTTTTGAGACGCCACCGTTCTTCTCTCCTCTGTACTTACGAACCCACTGATCCTGCTCGCCCTATCATCCAACCACCTCAGAACCTTTTCTCATTGTTGTCGCCCATTGCTGTCTGCCCGCCTCTCCCTCCCAAAACTCTCCCACAACCCGCTCCAACCTCTCATGCTGACGCTGGCATGAGTGGGCCCAAAGACCCATGCAGGCCTAACCAAGCACTGGTGGTGGCAAGGGGGGGCGTGGGAGGGCCAACGGTGTGCCGGCAGTACCGGCTGGAGGTGCTGGCGGCGGCGACGGGCACGTGGGCCGAGGCCAACAAGATCGGCAGCGGGGGGTTCGGGGATGTGTACCGCGCTCACGACCCCGCCGACCCGTGCACGCTGTGGGCTGTGAAGCGCGCCAAAGTGCTCACCAACGACTTCCGAAGGGAGGTATGGTGAGTGGGGTGGGGACATGCTGATGAGTTCACGGGAGCTCAGTTGATGCACATGCCCAGCAGGGGCTGATGAGCATTGCTTACCAACCACTTCCCAAGGAAGGTGATGGAGAGTGCTCGCCTGGAGGGAGATAGGAGGAGGGTTGCCGAGGGGGTTCAGAGGAGAGTGGTGGGCATCACACTAGGTGGGCAATTGCATAGGTGTAGTGCCATAGGTATTGGTGCCCACCTGACTTCAAGTCAAGAGGGTTGGATGCAAGGTGAGAAGGGGAAAGATGGGTCACATGACAAGGAAGAATCCTATGGAAACGGACCCATGGCATCGAACCTATCCTCTCAGTACCAGACCCCGGCACCAGACTTTGTAATATAAGCCCCATAAGTTTGTATCCATGGTCCCCGACTGATTGTACTGTATCCATGGTACTAAAATCATGGTACTCTCTCCATAGTGCTGTGCTGTATTCATAATACTGTATCCATAATACTGTATCCATAATACTGCATCCATAATACTGTATCCATTATATTGTTTCCATAATATTGTTTCCGTGATAGTATTCATAGTCTGTTTCTCTGTTTCTCTTGCCTGCTTGCCTGCTTGCCTTTCCTCGTTCCTCCTGTCTGTCCTCTACCCTCGTGCATTTAGGTGAACGAGATGGCATCAAAGCACCACCCGCACCTGGTTCGCCTGCTGGGGTTCTGCATCGACTTTAACGCAACCACGGAGCAGACGGAGCAGATCCTCATCTACGAGTTCATGCCTAATGGCGACCTCGAGAGGTGGCTCGGCCCAGGTGTGCTAACGTGCCCACTTCACTTCATCTAGTGCCTGGTTTGCACGTAGGTATGTTTGAATTGTACTCGACTTACTCTGGTGCCGAGTTTGTGTGAGGCTCTGAATTTGTCGGTTCAAGAGGTGGCTCAGCCCCAGGTGTGCTAGGATGTGACTTCTACTGCCTTACTTGCATATAGATATGTCGAATTGCGCTGGACTCACTCTGGTGTCAACATTAGGTGCTGAAATGTGTTTGTGTGCTTGAAAGAACCATCTCATTTTTTCCCTACTTGTGTGTTGTCACCATTCCGGTACCTGCTACCTCACATGCACCTCCCCCGGCCTGTGTTTGCTTGTTGCATTCCTTGCTGCTGCAGCAGCTGCTGCCCGGCCTCTCTCTCTTTTGGAGCGTGTGGATGTACTGATTGGCGTGGCGGAGGGATTGCAGTACTTGCACGGATTTAACATCGTGCATCGTGACATCAAGGGAGCCAACATCCTGCTGGACAGCAACATGCAGGTTCGTGCAATGATACGTCTATGTTTGTTGCATGCGACTATGTCATCCGGGTATCACCCTCCGACTGACGCAGAGAGGAGCAACTCAACCAAATTGTGTAGCAATTTTTGCGGGTTGCATGCAATGACAATGCAACCTCTCATGGGTTGCATTGTCATTGCATGCCAATTCATGGGTGCAATGACTATGCAACCATGTGGGATCAACAATTGTCATCGCAACCAATCCCTCGATATTGGGTTGTAATGGCAACACAACTTGTGATACCTACTCAAGGACTTGAACATGTCTTTTAATTGATCTAATCAGGTGGAGCTTTCGTCGTGAAAGCCATCTCATCTCTTCCCTTAGTTCCTCTCCATTGCAGGCAAAGATCGCAGACTTTGGGCTGGTGAGAATGGGCGAAGGCTCCACAGTGGGAGCCACGCGGGTGATGGGAACACCGGGCTATGTGGACCCCGCTTACTACAAGTCACAGAAGGCCACCCCCTTGGCTGATGTGCACAGGTATGGGTGATGTGCACAGGTATGGGTGATGTGAGCATGTATGGGTGACGTGTGCATGTGTTGTTTATGTTGTGCTTCTTCCCTTCGATGCTTGTTATGGTCGGCCAATCCATTCCAGTCTCCGCTGCTTTCCTACCTCCCCTCCCCTCGTCGCAGCTTTGGCGTGGTGATGCTGACAGTCCTAACAGGTCGCAAGGCCATCTATAACACGGATGACAGCCAGATCAACCTCAAGCAATGGGTCGGTGCAGCGCATGTGCAATGGTTCTGCTCTTGCTTTTCCGCATGCCCGTGCTTGCACTATGCATGCATGCACTACCACTCACATTCTCTGTTCAGGTAACCATCCGTGCATCCTGGACTTGCACACTCAACTTTCATGCATCCCCCATCCGTCCTCACTGTACAAGCACCATTCTTCAGCCACCCTCGTCTCTCTTACTCTTGTCTCCCTTCGTCTCCTCTCCCCCACTCATCTTACACCAGGTGGCACCATTTGTAGCGGCCAACGACGGAGTCTCGTTCAAGGACCCGGTGCTGGACGCCCCAGCGGACATCGTACTGCGGCTGGCGCAGCTGGCGCTGACCTGCACGGCCATGCCGACTGCATCCCGCCCCAACATGCTTAAAGTGATGGCAGAGCTGGAGGCTGTGCGCCAGGAGATTGGTGGAGTGGCCGGCGACCAGATAGCCAGGCGAATCGACAGGGAGATAGATGAGACCAAAGGCCATGACATTGAGGAGGAGGTTGCCAACGCCATCAGAATAGGATCGATGAGTAAGTGAGGAGCTGACGCATGGCAACACTGTGGTACCTACCTAGTAACATATGGCGTGCGTGCGTGTCTCAGGCTTCGGGTGGTAAGTCTCTTCTTCGTAACTGGTGGATGGTCTTCAAGAGCTGCATGGAGCGCAGTAGTGGTTCAAAGGATGTCATGTTTGCATGCACCTATAATATTATGGGGCTGTGGTCACTGGTAACAGCAGCAGTCCCAGTTGGTCAATGTGAGTTGAATCATATTGTTTACTGTGTATCCGCTGCGACAGGTTGGTTGTACATCGCATATTTTCTCCTGTGGGTCACTTCCAGGAAGTTGGTTTTGTGTGCCCGTCATATTATGGATTTTTTTGAAAGTGTGTAAAAATGAAGCTGCTGTGTGTATTGTGTATTGTGAAAGTGAAGCTGTTGGTAATGAAGCAATGGCAAGGGCGAATCGTTAAACACTTTGTATGTTATTGTAGGCTAGATAGGTGCTCACTCTTAGAGAGTACAACCCCTTAGAACAAAACTGTTAGTATGTATAAGTTATAGGCTAGATAGGTGTTTGTTCTTAGAGAGTACAACTCCAACCTATACCTTGCTTGTTCTCTCCTGTTTTCTTTTCATTCTGGTATCTTAACATGGTATCATGCGTAGGTTAGGTCCCCCCCACCCGCTTCCACCCCACGCCCTAGCCTACCGCGCCTCGCCGGCCCCTAGCGTGCCCGTCGGCCCCTCGCGCCCTAGCCGGCCCCTTGCCCCCTAGCCGGCCCCTTGCACCCAGCCGGCCCACCCCTCGCGCCTTCGCTGGCCCATCGCGCCCTCGCTGGCCCCTCGCATCGTCGCCCGCCCCTAGCTCCCAGCCGGCCCCTTTGCGACCAGCCGTCCCGCCCCTCGCGCCTTCGCTGGCCCCTCGCGCCCGAGCTGGCCCCTCGCGTCGTCGCTCGCCCCTCGCGCCTAGTCGGCCCCTCGCGCCCTAGCCGGCCCCTCGCGCTGTCGCCTGCCCCTAGCGCCCAGCCGCCCCATCCCCTTCGCGACCAGCCGGCCCGCTCCTCGCCCCTAGCCGGCCCCTCGCGCCTTCGCTGGCCCCTCGCGCCCTAGCTGGCCCCTCGCGCCTAGTCGGCCCCCACCGCCTCACTGGCCCCTACCACCTAGCCGGCCTCTCTCCTGCGCACCTCCGGCCCCACGCGCCCTGCCGGACTCTCTCCACATGCTGGCCCCTTGTGCGCCTCGACTCCACGCGCCCCCTCCCCGGCCTTCCTTTCGGTTCAGTTCCAGAGAGTCCTGCTGTCGTGCCGCTGAGTCCCTATGCTGCTGTGCCCCTGTGTCCCTGTGCCGCAGTGCCGCTGTGTCATGGTGCCGCTGTGGTTGAGCGATGACGGACGCCATGCTCCATCTGGACACGGAGGGGCACGCGATCGACTTCGCCGCCTGGCTTGTCGATCTCCACCGGCACCTGACAGGTCAGCACAAGGATGGGCACTCCCTGGCTATGCATGTTGATGGCTTGCTTCCTCGCCCTTCCGCCCCTGATCCCCTCCTTGCTGACCCCACCACTGCTGAGACTGAGGCCTTTGCTGTTGGTGCACTCGCTCGCGCTGTCTGGGATTCGCGCTGTAGCGCAGATTGCCATTAGTCATGCGCTTCCCTTGTCTGAGTGTCCGCGTTTCACTACTGTCGCGAACGCCAAGGATTTCCTAGATGTTGTAGTTGACCGTTACTCCACGCCTGCCTCCGCCTCAGCTGGATGCTTGATCCTCCCTATGCTCTTCCCTGATCTCTCTGCTTTCCCCAGTGTCGCTGATCTCGCCACTCACGTCCGTGCAGTAGAGACTAGCTATCGCGCTGCTAGCACTGCTGCCCAGCTCGCTGCCTTCCCCCCGCCATTCTGTGCTACCCTGTACCTTATTACCATGCGTCTGCCTGACCGCTTAGCCACTGCCCGCGACCACTTCCTTAGCCAGCACCCTGGTGACCTCACCCTGACCACTTTTGTCGCTACCCTTTATGAGATAAAGACTCGCCAGCGCACTATCGCTCAATCGAGCGGTGTTGCGCCAGTCCTTATCTTTCAGGGCTGTGCTCCCTCCCAGTGCACGTACGCTGACGTTTCCGCTGCGGTCGCTACTGCTACTCCTGCCGCTGAGACAGCAGCGGCGGCCTTCCCGCAGCAGCAGCGACAGCGTCAAGGCCGTCGCGGCCCCAAGGGAGGGCGTGGTGGTGGGCTATCTTGTTTTCTATTCATTCTAGTATCAATTCGCTATTCTGATATGGTATCACGCTAGGTTAGGTCCCCCCCGCCCACCCGCGCTTCCGCCTTAGGCCTAGCCCTAGCCGCCCCGTTAGCGCCCCGCTGGCCCCTTAGCGCCCCGCTGGCCCGTTAGCGCCCTGCTGGCCCGTTAGCGCCCCGCTGGCCCGTTCGCGCCCCGCTTCCCCCGTCGAGCCCTCCTGGCCCCGTTCGCCATGTCCGCCCCGTTAGCGCCCCGCTGGCCCCGTCGCATCCTGCTGGCCCCGCTGGCCCCGTCGAGCCCTCCTGGCCCCGTTCACCCCGTCGGCCCCGTTAGCGCCCCGCTGGCCCCGTCACGTCCTGCTGGCCCCGTACGCCCCGCTGGCCCCGTTAGCACCCCGCTGGCCCCGTCGAGCCCTCCTGGCCCCGTTCGCCCCGTCGGCCTTGTTAGCGCCTCGCTGGCCCCGTCCGCCCCGTCGGCCTTGTTAGCGCCTCGCTGGCCCCGTCGCGCCCTGCTGGCCCCGTACGCCCTGCTAGCTCCTTAGCTCCCCGCAGGCCCCGTGCGCCACGCTGGCCCCGTGCGCCCCGCTGATCCCGTTTGAGCCGCTGGCCTCGTTAGCGCCCCGCTAACCCGTCGAGCCCTTCCGGCCCCGTTAGCGCCCCACTGGCCCCGTTCACCCTGCTGGCCCCGTTGGCGCCCCGCTGGCCCCGTCGAGCCCTGTTGGCCCCGTACGCCCAGCTGGCCCCTTGGCGCCCCGCTGGCCCCTTGGCGCCCCGCTGGCTCCTTAGAGCCCCGCTGGCCCCTTGGCACCTCACTAGCCCCGTTAGAGCCCCGCTAGCCCGTGCGCCCCGCCGGCCCCGTCAGCGCCCCGCTAGCCTGTGCGCCCCGCCGGCCCCCTTCTCCGCCGGCCCCTGCTCCACCGGCCACCGTCCGCACTGGCCAGCAGCCGCGCCGCAGCGCAGCCGAGCCGCCCTATCGCTGCGCCGCTGTGTCGCTCTGCCGCCCACGACCTACCGGCCTTGGCTCCCTTTTGCACCAGCTCACCTGCCGACTGTCTCCACCACTCTCCACCGCACTCGACCGTACTCCACTGTTCTCCCTCACCCTCCACCGCACTCCACCGCACTCCACCGCTCTCCACCGCTATCCACTGCTCTCCACCGCTCTCCACTGCTTTCCTTCGCCTTTCCTCCTCACCCTGTCAGCTGCATTCAGCAGCCGCAGCAGTGGGGATGGCGGAGTCACAGCTCCGTCTGGACGCTGAGGGTCGGGCGATAGACTTCGAGGCATGGCTCATCGACCTCCGCCGTCACCTTACAGGTCAGCGCCAGGACGGTCACTCCATGGCTGTCCATGTCGATGGCCTGCTTCCTCGCCCCCCTGTGTCTGTTGCCCTCCTTGATGCCCCCACCTCTGCTGAGCGTGAGGCCTTTTCCGCTGTTGCGCTTGCTCGTGCCGTCTGGGACTCGCGCAACGCCGTCGCAGAGCTTGCTATCAGTCACGTTTTCCCTCCGTCTGAGCGTCCCAACTTTACCACTGTAGCGAATGCCCAGGCTTTCTTAGATGCAGTCATTGAGCGCTATTCCACCCCCGCCTCCGACTCTGCTGGCCGCCTGATCCTCCCCATGTTGTTCACTGATCTTGCGTCCATCCCCATTGTCGCCGACCTTGCCACTCACCTCCGCGCGCTGGAGACTAGCTACCGCGCTGCTAGCACTGAGGTTCAGCTCACTACCTTTCCGCCGCCGTTCGGCGCTACCCTTTATCTCATCGCCACCCGCCTCCCCGACCGCCTGGCCACAACCCGCGACTACTTCCTTAGTCAGCACACGGGTGACCTCACCCTTACCGCCTTTGTCACCGCACTGTCTGCGGTAGAGACCCGCCAGCGCAGTATCGCTCAGTCTAGCGGTACTGCGCCGGTCCTTATCTTTCAGGGCTGTTCTCCCTCCCAGTGCTCTTACTCTGACGTCTCTGCTGCTGTTGCTGAGACCGCTGCTGTGGCCTCAGGGAAGTCGCATCCGGGTAAGGGTCGCCGCCCCAAGGGGGGGCGTGGTGGAGGGAAGGGCGGTGGGGGTGGGGAGGGTAGCGGAGGTGGGGGCGGGGACAGTGGTTTGGACGAGGGGACCAGGGCTGGTGCCCCGGAGCAGCAGCAGCAGCAGCCGTAGCCTCAGCAGCAGCAGGCACAGCCTAAGAAGTAGCAGCAGCAGCCGCAAACATCTCATCAGCAGCAGCAGCAGACGTCGTGGGGACCCCCGCCGCCGTGGTTGACTGGCGGCGCTAGTGGCAGTGGTCGCGGGAGTGGCGAGTGCAGCTCGGTGTCGGGTGGCAGCTCCAGTGTGGTCACCTGCCAGTACCAGCTTCAGATCGGCCCTCGCTGTGGCACCATTAGCTCCCGGTCCGGCCACACCGCCGACCGTTGCTACCGCCGCGTGGACGACCTGTTCCGCCTCTGGACTAGTACGCACTGGCTCGCCGCTGTGTGCCTGTCTTTGAGCTTGACATGGATCAGATTAGGAATGCTATATCTGTCATGTATGCTAATGACTCTAGTGTGATTGGACCCTATTACCCGGTATTGCCTAGTGTAGGTGTGTCTACTGTGTGTAGTCTAGGCTCCCCTGCTACGTCAGGCATAGGACCCTCTGCCTTGTTTAGCCTAGGCTCTACGCTCGCCCCTCCGCCGGCTGACGCTACTGCGTCGCTCTCCTTTACGCTCCACTCTAGAGCTTAAGCCTGTTTCTTTCGCGACCACACTTCGCTCATGCCGCTTGCTGCCCCCGCCGCTGTAGCACTTGCTGACCCCTCCTCAGGTCCGGTAGTAGCCCGTAGCTACACTACCCTCCCCTGTCTGGCGGTCCCCTCGGGCTCTCTTACAGGCCTGCACATCCCCTCGTTCTCTAGGAACCTAGTTGGTGTCGGCTGCCTTCAGGACCACGGCGTCACCACTACGTTCCCCGGACACGAGCGGTACGTGGTCTGTACTGGTGCCCCTCTGACCACGTTCCCCCGAGACCCTGTGTCTGGCCTGTTTACGCTTGGCACTGCGTCCCCCCGGGTGAAGGCGACCCCCCTGGTCGCCACGGCTTGCTCGTGTTGGTCGCTCACTCACCCATCGCTGCTATGGCACCATCGCCT